GGCAGTTGAATCATGAAAAATATGATATGCGAGTGATGGATTAAGTTTCGGGGCATTGCGGACCGTTGGAGAGAGATAAACCTCGTGCGACAAGACCTTGCTTGCCTGTTCTGCGTACCGTCACCACGGCGAGTTGGACGTTGTCTTGGGATGTGTTTCACTGATTTCATGCCTCTGCTGTTTCGAGATCATCTTGCGACGGCCAGAGATTACAACACCGTTACGGCGATATGCCAGCATCGGAGACATCCTATCAAACTCATACACCATTTGGGTAACCCGACGAGTCTTTGTTGCACAACATTCCTCGCCACATGATGGTGCGATGGGCACGGACGACCAAGCCTGCCAAAAGCGGTGCAAAAATGTCGTGGAACCCATATCGACTTGTCTTGTGCTAATAATACGGCTCCATCCACTCGAATACATCGTGGGAACCTCCTAGCACAATCTGGATGTTTTGCAACTGTGTACGTACTCCATTCAGAGCGCCGAGGAAGCTTCAGCCGTCTTCACCCTGCCCTCGAAACAGATGGCCTTTGTTCGTGCTCTTTCAAACCACCTCGTTTGACCTAACAATACACTAGACCACGAGGAACAATGACTTCCGGCCCTGCCCGCGTCCGTGTCCGTTGCTTCCGATCCGTCGAACGGACCACAACTTGTAAACAAAAGTCCTCTGATCACGATGCCGTTTGGTGGCTCCCTAATTGCGGATGCACCGCCTACAAGTCCAAACTGGTACTATTTGCCACGCGGCCAAAACGTTGCAACGGGTCCATCAATATGGCGGCGCCGTATGCCAACGATTAGGCCGAGTTCTGCTCGCGAAGTAAGCTTTTTCGTTAAGTGGACTTTGGTGCCTAGTTTAATGAGGCTTTCGAACATGTTCATGAAATGATCGATCGACTGACAGCAAAGCCTGAAACAGCCGCCCGGAGCCTTTTTAGGGCTTCAGTCGACCCCTACCAAGATTTCCCAGCTTTTTACCGTCTGATGAACCAGCGATGATATCATTGACACATGCTAAAGCCTGCAATCACTGACGGGGGAAGTCCGATCGAGATTGACTTGACTGCCGAGCCGGAAATAGCACCAAATCCGCTGGCGACAATCTAAGAAAAGAGATGGCTCACCGTCATTATCTAGTCGGAATGTAACACTCGTCGTTCGATTCCCCTGGGGTCCGTGAGGCACCGCCCATCATCATATGTATGCTTGGCCTTGCCATTTCTGCCTTCGGGCGTGGATAAGAGATTGAAGTTCATTATTGGCTTCGCTTTACGCTCGCACGAGCCGCATCTAGCACCAAAGACATCGACAGCTGAAGCCTTGCTCGAATTTAAAGCCCCTGAATAGTCTCCCTCTTGAAGCCACGTTTTGTGGAGGTGAACCACATCGACGGAAAACCCATGGATGCTCTTCCCAGTGGCGCGGTGCAAGACCCGTGACACGTGGGGTTGAAAGTTTATTTGCGAGGCTTGGGAGCAAATTGAGCTGCCAACTCTCAGTTTGACTACGTATTTGGAAAGAGAATCGAGATTGTGGCCCCCATTTATTACCTACTTGAGTCTGAACTCTCACTAGGCGAACAGCCGTACAAGGATCTGCAGCCTAGAAATGGCAAGCCCGGAGATTACCTTGACTAAAATAACTGATCCGGCAAACTCAAAACCAGCCCTCCTTTCTAGATGACTGGAACAACTCAATATGATTAAAGGAAAACCTCGGTAGTTTGTGAGCCCCAACCCTTGGTAGAATCCAACGAGCGCTGGTGTAGGGTAAGATTGATTGCTGTTAAAGCACGCCAAAGTGTCGACGTATACTTCTGGGGCCCGAGAGGAAGAGGCCAGATTAAAAAAGAGAGTTTTTGATGTTTTGAGAATGGGAATGGTCTTGGCTGCCGACATTGCGTGTTTCTGGCACTCAACGTTGTCCTCCCAAGCATCAAGTTGTTCAAGGATGCCACATGCATTGACTCAAATGCTTCTGTCCCGCCGGCGAAGAGAATACCTTGGACCTGTTTATTAAAGAATGCACTGTGCAATATATGGAGCAATAAGGAAGGATAGTCACAAATGATAAATGAACTTGTCCTTGCTTAGGACTTCAAGACCCCGTTAGACTAATGATCAACTCTTTACGCCGACATCTGGGAAGTCGGTCAACAGGAAAACAGACACTCTCGATAGACTATACATTCATTTTAGTCATGAACACACATGTGTAAGGTCCTCCATGAAAGCTATTCGATGTAACTACTAGAGGGGATATTGATGTCACTTACAGAAAGCAGCCAGACTCAAAATAGTTGTCCGTCTCATTGAGACTAGGAATTGCCACGGAGGAACATCAAGCGACACTTGTATATCGCGACCTGTGGAGTTATTGGCAAGTGCGTTCCAGGTCCCAAATTTATTTTCCTTGTTTTTCTTCCCGTCTGCACGTCCAGGTCTTTTGCATAGCGAGCAAATGATCTTTGCTGATGTTGGCAACTCCTCCATCGACTTGGTCTCCGAGCTCCCCCAATACACGAGTTTGAGAGGCTACCGCGTAGAAACATGTAGATGGGCAGGAGGCGAGCTACTTGGAGGACGCTTCGGAGGTTGATTCATGTTACACGAATTCGACCGCGGCTCTACCGGCCTGCAGCAATCGCGACAAGACATGGTATCGCGGTCAGGGTTGGCATAAGCAACATCGCTCCCGGCATGACGCCGGCTTTTCCATGTCCTGTCTAGTGAAGCTGAACCAAGCTTGTGTGTGGTGATCTTCTTTGACGACATTATCGTTGCAGCAGCCGATTTTGGAGCCGCAACTTCACTCGTAGCTAATAGCTCTTCAACACGGCATGCGATTTGAAAGATTTGATTGACTTGTGAGCTCTTTTTCTCGCTGAAGACAGCTATATATGGGCTTCTAATGGTGGTTCGTGTCGTTGTCCCTCTATTGAAGCCTGTATGAATCGAGCGGTGCCATGTCGGATGTAGGAAAATGGAGGGGACTTGCCATATTAGACTCAATTGTCTTTCAACTGAAGACTCGCGGAGAGTCTACTCTAGACGTTGCTATTCGTTTGGTCCCGTCGAGAGTTTGATAGCTTCTGAACCAACGATGCGCGGGTTAATGATACACTCTTCGTTTTGGACCGAGTTGACCACGAATCGTTTGTAAAATAATAATAGTGATGCATGAACTCGACAGAAACATCAAGCCAAAGTACTGTCATGTGTACTCTGTTGCCACACTTGCCATATTGCTGTTGGTTCAAGGCCGCCAACCATAATGGCAAAAGTGCTGCGGACAAACAGCAGAGAGCAGATGAATGCAAGGAGTGGCAAGCATACGGCTAGACCGAGTTGCACCACAGCTTCAAATGCGAAAAGAAGAGGCACTCGGCTGAAACGAAGAAGAACAACTTGGATGGCAGCAATTGGCTCTCGCTTCTGTCATTAACCCGAGCATTCGCCTACTATCTTTAGCATGAACCGTGGGCATCAGACGGGAGATGACCATCTCCACGGGAGATAGACACCGCCAGGCAAGGCACAGCAATCACAAATGGTCAAGTCAACTTGCCACAGATGGGCCAGCAGCGTGAGGCTCGCTTTCGCCGTGCTGCGTTCAAACCAGGTGCGGCTCATGGCAAACGCTGCTGTCCTCAAGCCTTCCCCCGAAGAGCCAATCATCAAGTTGATGGGCGCTCCGGATGAGGGACATCCGGAGAAAGCCTCTATTCTGACAAACGCCACTGCCGGCAGGACCGATTACCAGTGATGCAATTGCTTCCTTGCTCCCTGGCACCGTGGCTGTGAGAGCTGGAGACTACGAGAATGCTATCCTGCTCGAGCTTCTTTGTCTTGTTCGGCCTATTATTACAGCGACACAAGATGGCATGGAAGACAACCGACCAAGGCGAAACAAATTGTTGCTAAATTTACTACAACTGGCAGTTTTCGTCACGCGGCATCGGAGCAACTCTCGATACAGACGTTGCGAAAAGGCGGCATGAATTCATCCGTCTCGTAATTGAAGCCAAGTCGTAGCAAGGCAAATGTCCCCGAAAGAAGAGTCTTTGAGCCGAATTATACGCTCGTTTTTGTCTTGGCGGTGAATCTTGCCGAGTTCGCAGCAGATGAGGCTTGCGCGATATCATGTCGCTGGTCAGCGATGGCATAATCGGTGCTCAACGGCCCGGCACCAGGCACAGCTTCTGCCCATGGACGAGGATTTAGATAGGGCCAAATAGGAAAAGGTATAGATGATGGAAAGAATACCGGCTTCATCGACCTCCAGTGTGCGCCAAGCCCACAGGTGTTGACGCCCTTGGGATGGCAACTAAAAGCGAACTCCCAACTCGTGGGAAGATTGGTCCAAACGGTTGTATGTACGCCATGTACTGTGTCCAATTGAATGCAAGACAATAAAAGACGTCTCATTTTACTGGTTGGCATCAACGCCACCACGATGGCTTCGTGGTACAGCCTCGGAGGAGTGGTTGGGCCTTGACGCCACGAAACGGCACCCAGGAGCCAATATCTTTCATCAGAGGCTGACAGCCACTTTGTTACCAGAGGCTATTCTAGCAAGCGAGAGCCGGTAGTGGTGGGATTGAACAGCCTTGGTGATATGCCACCTCTGTATGGGAGATGGCTCTTCCATAGCTAGTATGTAGTTCCCCCAGATCGTCATTCCCGAGGGGCGCCCTATTGGGCCCTTTGGCTCGGGGGATGTACGGCCGACACCGTTTTTTGATATCGCAGAGCTTCAATTGCGATGGCTGTCGTGGGATGCAATGAGCTTCGACAAGGCGATTGTCGACTATAAATGAAGGTCGATTCCCGGCGTCAAATGATCAACTCAACAGTCATCACAACAACACAAATACAACAAGTCTAATCCCCTTCAATACACAATCATTCACATTACCCGCCTCGTCAACCCCTTGACTTTGGAACCAAAACACGAGTTTTACAACAACCGTTACAACACTATTCAACATGATGCTCAACTCCGCCATCGTCACCTTTGCTCTCAGCGTTGCTGTCAGCGCCCTCCCCCAGGCATACCCCAACAAGTGCGGCGACCAAGTTTGTCCTGCCGACAAGTCCAAATGCTGCGAAGTTATCGTCAACGGAGTTGCAGAGATTGGCTGCTTCGCCGAATGCCCACCAGTCCAGGCCCTCCAGCGCAGACAAACATACCCCAACAAGTGTGGCGATCAGGTCTGCCCTGCCGACAAGTCCAAGTGCTGCGAAGTCATTGTCAACGGGGTAGCTGAAATCGGCTGCTTTGCCGAATGCCCGCCCGTCCAAGCCCTCCAGCGCCGCCAGACATATCCAAACAAGTGCGGCGACCAAGTCTGCCCTGCCGACAAGTCCAAGTGCTGCGAAGTCATCGTCAACGGCGTCGCTGAGATCGGCTGCTTCGCCGAATGCCCGCCCGTCCAAGCCCTGCAGCGCCGCGACCAGCCCTCGACTACAACCGCCGCGTCGCCTTCGACTCCTACCTTTGGTCCCAAGTGCGGCGATTCCTTCTTCTGCCCCGTCGGCAAGGTCTGCTGCCCCAACGCTCTCTACCACTGCGCCGATCCCGACAAGGTCAGCCAGCAGTGCCCTCAGTAAATGGCGCTCGTGAGAAGACGCCTTTGAGAGACTGAGCATGAAGGTGTTGCAACATCTGCGGCGGCTGAGTGTTTGAGTAATTTTCCTTTGTTTGGCTTGCTGGCATTTAGAGTGCGAAAGACGTTGTTACAGCTATAGATTAGAGATTGCTTCCCTTGTTTCCCCTAGAGAACATCTATATACTTTATAGAAGACTTTGTTAATAGATATGCTGTATTTCTTCACATGTCTTTGTTCGAATGTCTAATGCGTAGACCGCGCTATGTGACCGATTAACAATGCCTAGCTGGGGGTAATGAGGAAAAGAAAAAGACGAAAAAAAGAGCAATTCAGGCAAAATGATGAAATTACTTGGATTGGCAATCTCGAAGAGCTGATAAACACCAGTTGACATCTCGTCGCAGGCCTTTCGAGCTCCGCGACCAACACGGAGCGGAAGCGGAGCGGGGACCAAGTGGGGCAAAAGCCGGCGCTAGGCTGGTTACGCATCCGGTTCCTCCCAGCCCTCGGAGTTTCCAAACTCCACGCCATGTATTTCATCATTTCATCGCGCGTCTCCCCTCACACTTGACCGTAAACTTCGCTCAGCTTCTGCCCCTCACGACGCCAGCAAACCTCAACATCGAGCAACTGCCATGGCGACGGCCGCCGTGTTCGGGTCCACCGGCGCCGTGGGCTCTCAAATCCTCGCCACGCTCCTGGCCACAGACACATTCTCATCCATCAAGACCATTTCCCGACGAGCCCCCGGCGCGCAGTCGCCCAAGCTCCAGGCTCTCGAGGAGGCAGACACCTCCAAATGGGGCGGCGCGATGGCCTCGCTCTCCCCCAAGCCGGGCGTGGTCTTCAACGCCGTGGGCACCACGAGAGCCGCGGCGGGCGGCATCCAGAACCAGTGGAAGATTGACCACGACCTGTGCGTCGAGAACGCCAGAGCGGCCAAGGAGGCGGGCGTCAAGACGTACGTGTTCGTCTCGAGCGGCGGCACCAGGGGCTTCCCCTCGAGCTACCTGCCGTACTCGAAGATGAAGATTGGTGTCGAGGACGCCATCAGGGAGCTTGATTTTGAACATGCCGTTATCCTGAGGCCCGGGATGATTATCGGCAGAGAAACGTCCAAGGCGCCGGTGCTTGAGAGTATTGTCGGAAACCTGAATAAGCTGGGACAGTGGGCGCAGGACTGGATTGGTACGTGCTGGATATGCGAGTGCTTTGCCGTGTTTCCGGTGCTAACAGAGGCTTTTATTGTAGGTCAAGATCAGACCGTCATTGCGAGGGCGGCAGTTGCTGCGGCGGCGGCGGCAAATGATGGAAACGCACCGTCCAAGTATTGGGTTGTCGAACAGGCTGACATTGTTAGGCTGGGCCGAGACCAGTGGAAGCAATAGTGTGTCCTGTGTGTTTTGAATGTGGATGCGGCTGGAAGATTTGTAGTAGTAGCTGGACGATGGCGAGTCCTTGATGCTTTGGCTGTGGAGCGAAAAGTCTGGGACGCTTTGCCGCGGTGTTTATTTTGGCGCTGTTGCCTCAATGCTGGCCATTCCGGCTTCGTTTGTTGTGTGCTTGGGTAGTAATGATGCAATGAAGTGTTTATGCTGGCTTTCGGCATCTTGCTGAACTTGATTGGCCGTGGATGAAGCAGACGTTGTTGATGTTGTAGAATAGCGGCTGTTTATGTGCCATCACAGAGGCTGCAAGTTGCATGTGTGACTTGAACACACCATTGGTCTTTTCGGCCGTACCCGGTCAAAGGCTATGGCACCAGAGACCATGTCCAAGAAGTCCAAGTTGCCTTTTCCATCACTTTTCTTGCCGGGGGGCGAGAATAGGCGTTGAGAAATGCTGGCATTCAAGCAAATATGACTTGCATAGCGTCAATAATACAGTGGTGGCATAACTAAGTCTTGGCCAACCCGCTTTATGCATCGTTGACGGCCAAGTCGGTATGGAGCTTGACGGCTCCGCCATGTGCCATGTGTGCAATGTACATTGTACATGTACCTACTCCACCGATGGGCAGGCAGGCACGGCTGGGCCATCGGGGTGACCCGACGATTCGGGCAACACCGCACACATTTGGTGCATGTCGTGCCGGCCCGACGTGTTTGGCGACAGCAATTGACACTTTTCAATCTTCTTAAGAACCTCATTTCCACTCTCCCATCTCCATCCTGCTTCTCTATCAAAGACCTCATTTTCCACTCCCCCATCTCCACCCTGCTTCTCTATCAAAGACCTCATTTTCCACTCTCCCATCTCCACCCTGCTTCTCTATCAAAGACCTCATTTTCCACTCTCTCATCTCCACCCTGCTCCTCTATCAAAAGACAGCCAATTTCATCATCCAGGACCAGCCCTGCCCATATTCCCACATACACCAAGGATTCCCCGTCATCCGCCATGGGCGACAACAATGTCAGGTCGTACTTTGCTCCGGCAGGCGGACTGCCGCCGCAGACACAGCTTCTCACCGACCGCGCCATGTTTACCGAGGCATACGCCGTGATCCCAAAGGGCACCTTCAGCGACATCGTCACGAGCTCTCTGCCCTTCTGGGACCAGACGAGACTGTGGGTGATTGCCCGTCCGCTGTCGGGCTTCGCGGAAACCTTTTCGCAATACATCATGGAGGTTCAGCCCGGTGGCGGCAGCGACCGCCCCGAACTAGATGACGGCGCACAAGGCGTACTGTTCGTCGTCGAAGGCAGTGTAACCATCACCATGGCAGACGAGAAACACGTCCTCGCCGAAGGCGGCTATGCCTATCTGCCGCCGAAAAGCGGCTGGACCCTACGCAACACAGCTGCCACCACGGCCCGTTTCCACTGGATACGCAAAGCCTATGAATACGTCGACGGGCTTGGTACGCCTGAGCCTCTTTTTCTCAACGAAAATGACATTGCACCTTGCGAAATGCTGGGGACCAACGGTGCTTGGGCAACGACACGCTTTGTCGATCCCTGCGATCTGCGCCATGACATGCATGTCAACATTGTCACCTTTGAGCCTGGCGGTGTCATCCCGTTCGCGGAAACCCACGTCATGGAACACGGACTCTATGTGCTGCAAGGCAAAGCCGTCTACCGCCTGAATCAGGACTGGGTCGAGGTGGAGGCAGGCGACTTCATGTGGCTGCGCGCCTTTTGCCCGCAGGCGTGCTACGCGGGCGGCCCTGGCAAGTTCCGTTACCTGCTTTACAAGGATGTGAACCGGCACATGAAGCTCTCGAGATAGGTAGCGCCAGGCTTGGTCTACATCTGTTGATGCAATCTTGTGGCCTGGAGATGCAAGGAAACCACCTAGTGAATCAAGCCTGGAATAGGCTCGGCTAGGAAGATGGAGGGCTACGTCTCAATTTCGGCAGGCAGTCCAAGTCAAAGCCTCGAAAATGCCTGTCATGGGTGGCTTGGATCTTTGGATTGAAGAATGCTGCCGAGGAACTACTGGCAGGAAAATAGCTGTTCACCGGACAAAATACCTGGCCATTGCGTCACAAACTATAATATACCAATGCATATTAGTGTATATTTACATGTAGACAAATATTCTGCCAAAGGCTGTACATCCATTGTTTCTGCCCGCAGGTGAACTTGTGTGTTCGCGGCTAGGATCATCTTTACCCCTTGGATGGCGTTCCATTCTCCAAAGGTTGACAAGATGAGCAAGAGAATCAAGAGGGGCACTGGATTATTGTGAATGCATGACCGGATATTCTGTGCTTTTCCCATAAAAAGACCTCTAGGGTAGCGCAGCCAAAGCATTATATTTACGGACATAGTTAGTCAATATTTCGACATCTTTTCTACAAGCATGACACCATAAGCATAGTCTTTGCTTTAACTTTAGGTATTTTGACGAGCAATAGAACTGCCTTTCCCCTTTTTATGAGTCTCCCCTAACATGGTACACTGATGAAGATGAGGGAACAGCGGCACAGACGAAGCCAGTTCTCAAACATAAACCCTACAAGATAGACCACGGTTCTGGACAAAACTGTCCGAAAATCGCTCCAGGGCTCCAACAAACGTAACGGTTCCGTGGCCCATGGACTCTCAGCCTGTAGATGATTCTACCCCATGCAGCCCACTGCTCCAACGTACAAGTGGCGGCGTAGTCGTCAGCTCAAGCATCGCAATCGTGGTACTCGGTCAGCTTGAAAAGCTTCTTGGCGTTCTCCCTCGCGACCTTTTTATACCCATCCTCGCCGCCCAGCGCCCGAGTCAATGCGTCCTCCTCGCCGTCAAACCACCCCACGCCATTCTCGATAGTCTCGTACGGGGTATCCACGCTGAACATGATCCTCTCGGGCCCCAAGTAATCGGCAACGTACCGCACAGTCGGCGTAGAAAAGTGCCCGCTGGTCGTCACCCAGATATTGTTCCTAAAGTAGTAAAGCAGATCCTTCTTGCTCATAACATCACCCCGCCCAACCGCCAGCGGACGCTCGACATCCTCGAGCCAGTGGCTGATGCGCCAGAAATCAAAAGGTATATGCTCCCCGAGATGCCCAACCACCACCTTGAGCTTGGGGAACCGGTCGAAGACGCCATTCGTCACCAGGCCCAGGAGGTGCAGCGAGACGTCGTTTGCGAAACTCAACGGCGGGCCGACGAGATGCTTGCGCTGCGCGTACATTTGCTTGTAGTAGTTGCCGGCGGGCGCAGCGGGGTGCAGATACACGGGCACGTCGAGCTCGACGCACTTTTGCCAGAATACATCGTACGCGGGCTGATCGTAGAAGAGGTAGGTCTCCCCGTCCGGCCCTGCGTGCTGGTAATTGTTCAGGAGGGCGCCGTGGAAGCCGTGCTGGCGGACGCAGCGCTCCAGCTCGGCGGCTGCCTGTGCGGCGTCGTGCATGGAGAGGGCGGCAAAGGCGCCCAGGCGGTCGCGGTGGTCTTTGATTTCGTTGGCGATCCAGTCGTTGACGGTGGTGGCGTGCTGCTCGGCCTTGGATGGATCTGGTATGCCTTGGATGCCGGGCACCGTTAGGGAGTAGATGGTGTAGCCGATCCCGTGGCTGTTTGCTAGTTGGAGGCGTTCGCCGAGAGGGTGTTTGATGTGGTCGATGTAGCGATCGAGGTCTTTGGGCGCGATGTACAGAGCGGCTTGTTCACGACTGGAGTCGGCCAAGGTTGGTAGCTCGAAGGCTTCTTCGAAGTTGATCTTGCCGCGCATTGTGCTTGACGTTGTGTTGGTTTGTAAATAATTGGTTTATAGAGATAATGGATGAGTGGGAAGAGTAAGATTCTGTTTGTATAAGTTATACTAGCGAGAACGGGTAGCTTATTTATACTTTTACAAAGTCTTGCCACTTGGTCGACGCAGTCACCTTGTTGGCCGTGTCTATACCCGGGTACAGCGGACGGTGCATCGTCATGGACCAAGTGCCATTCTTGTTTGGACCCAAGTATCCGCGGAGAGCACGCGGCAAGCCGCAGACGAGGCCTGCTCACCTATCGGATCTACCAAGACAGCATCAGTTGTTGGCCTCAGACAACCGATCGCAGTGCCGAGTCGTAGTGCCGGTCGGGACTGCACGTATAGTGGGACATGATGAATCTCACGGACTGGGCAAACGTCGACTCGATCGCGATTCCGGGCTACAGGCTCCGACGTCGTGGAGTCGATCGGCCTCGGCCATGGGGTGTTTGCCCGTGCCGTGGCGCGAGCTCCGATCATGACCGCCTCCGTACCTTATCAACTGTTACAAGTTCAGAGAATAATAGTTGGGGCGCTAAACCCAATGTATTCGGGGTTTCGGATTCGATGTTTATTCGTTGCAACACCGGAAGCCTAGGTTCTGTACCATATCGCATGGGCGCTGGAATTTCGGACTAAACGTTGATTCGTTGAAACACTAGAGGCCTGGATTCTGTATTGACTATATCGGATCGGCACTGAATTATAACTCGGCATTTTCAAAATAGAAACATCAGCTATACCATGTCCGGCGACAAGCGTTCGGTTCATTTCGAAAAGCAGACGCGACGTCATCTAATTCTATGCTACTTCGTCTCTTCATCAAGCCAAGAATCGGTAGAATAGACGGGGCTAGAACTTTAGTCACAATAAGCCATGCGAAATTTTATTCCACGACCCTTGACTATGCCTCACTTGCTGAGGGCCGCAAACTAGGTAATGCGCATGTGCATCATGCTCGCACGTCGCTTGTCATACGGTACCAGCACTTAGGATAGAATAGCTTAGACCTGAATGAAACAAGATAGTTTCACATGTCAAACAGTAGAGCCATATGCAATCAAATATTTATGTGGATACTCCTGCCTGGACCGCAGTGTTGCGATTTCCCCATACGTGCTCTTGACTAAGGCAGCATTACCCAACAATCACATAGTTTTCTTTGTCGTGAATGAGCAGCATGATATTCACATGGCTGATGAAGACTTGGGTTTTTCTTTTGCCACGACGCCACCATCTCCAGGTGCGCAGTTGCCAAACTGCAAGGCCGCAACTCGCCGTTTGAGACATGATACTTGTAGACAAAAGGTTCCCCCCAGAGCAAGCAGATGGCCCGTTTAATATTAATAGAATATATTGCCGTTCAACGGGGCAACGATGGTATGATTGGGGCATTGCTACCAGAGTGATAATCGTAAAGCTAAATACTACTTTTTGGCAAGCGTCACAGCAGAACACGCGTAATCTAGAGGTGAAAGGAGTTTATTGCTTGTACAAGATAGCCATACGACCGAAGTAGACTTGTATGGAAGTTGTAGGCCAGGCCCTGCATGTAGTCAAGGTCAATAAAACGCTACCACATGGCACAACCCACCTTCGCCTGGTGTCACGGTTTGATGTAGGAATGGCTCATTTGTTCTTTTGATTATGATAAGAGGCATAAGATAATGTTTATAATAAACTTGGATAAATACTGAAACAGTTGTACACTTTCTTATCGCAGTGCCGGGTTTACCAATGACGCGAGACAGTCGCACTCCTGCCGTCACGGCCCCCCAACAGGACTTGCAAGCCATATTCGACCGCAACCCCTCGTATATGACTATCTCTTTCTCCTATTCTTTTGGTTTCAGTTCCCCAATGTGCACGGCCGCAGCTTGCCAAAGGTTATGCCACAAGAAGTTGCGATCCGTCTGGTACTACTTTCAGCCTGGCTTGGCCTAGTGGTACAGATGCTAATTACATCTGTAACGACGGAGTCGACCTTTGCCGCAGAAGTAAACGCCGTTTACTTCCTACAGGGCCGGAGCGCACGTTGCCTCGCCACCGCGATGTCATTGTCTGTGTAGGTATCCAAGACACGGCTTTTCTTGTGCCGGCCAGATGCATTCGATTCCACTTGCAATGTCCTCTCTGGCGGCGAGCAGCAGTAGCGCCCGGCTTTTCCGGCGTCACATCCGAAGAGCATCACATCCAGTTCCTCTACCATGGCCCGATGTCTACATTTCTGCTGCCCATACGGAACCACTCCCGATCCGGCTATACGGGCACCCGTTTGACTCGTTTTCTCTTGCGCATGGAACATGCCGGCGCGGACTCTAAGCAACGGGATGCTTTAGTTTGCTAATGACCTGCTACATTTGGGAATTGCCTCCGCGGCACACCTTCGAGGACGATCTGTAGCATGGTATCGGTGAGGGAAGAAACAGCGGCACGTACTCGACAAATGCGTAGAGACGGAAGCAGCTGTACGGGCAGCTCTCTCTGTCAGGCCACGACGAGTTACATCAGCCCTCGCAACAATACCTCAGCCAGAAACACTCATCGCCATTCCAAATGTGGAAGAGAGAACTTGAGCAGGTGAAGGACAGAAATACGTCAAAGACGTGGGATCGGCTCGTGGTTTTCACATCCGTCTCAATCAGCCTCCGACAGCTGCCTGTAATCGGTTTGCTCATGAAAGTTAGGCTGGAGACCATCAGCCGGAATGTTACAAATTCTGGTCCTACACCGACAACCGGCAAGTTCAAAACCTGAATCCCATCGTGGACCTGGGGTGCTACGGAACAGCCGATTTTGCTTGATTCCATCCAGCACAGAAGGCGTGCCGACCATGCCTGGCATCACCGCATGTCAATCGACGACGAGCAAGCTCGCTTAGGCAAACAGGAGCGTTGCAGGCTGACCACGAAAGACGCATTATATGAAACAAGAAACGCAATTCATAAAGTATAAGTGGCACTCAATTGGCTTCACAGCGGCGAGAGTCCATTCTTTGTTGACATCAAATGCTTCTACTAGACACCTCCTCGAGCTGGCTGGAAGACGGCACCCACTTCTTGCTCAGAAGTTCAACAAGGGGTTTAGATTCGTTCTTTTCGACAAGATTTCGATTCGGTTGACGATTGCCATAGTATCTCCTTGGAATCATGCCATGAGGCGACCGCATAAAGGATATGGTTTCTCGGATTGGCCGAAAAGTCGGCCACACAGCACTATTTATACTAGTACAAAAAGGACATGCCGATTTCTTATTTTCCCAAGAGTTTGGCTTGAGTAATAACTTAAAAAAGCACAGACAACTGGACAGGATGAACAGTTGTAGAAGAGAAGCTCATGACTGGCGCAGAAATGTCAAAGCTCTATGCAGGGACAATGCTGCGTGGAGTGAGCTAGTAGCAGAGCTAAAGGCCGACGTGGCTTCCTTGCTGGAACATGCGAGCAGAGAGGCTCCTGTCAGATCTCATGAGCTAAGTAGTCGACAATTCCGATAATGGTGCCATGAGCACGACCGAAAGCGACCTCCCACATCGAGGGTTGGGGTTACAATGCCCACTCATCCATGAAAAGCCGTCTGGTGGCTCTTTCGACATGGTTAGTGTTAGTGTCCGTCCATGCGCTGCGCCATGGCTGCTCGGTGGTTGAGGAGCATTCCTTCCAGTCCTGCCCAACCTTGCGGATCAGCAGTCCCATCCATGTGGTTGCGCAGATCGAGTTGGTTGCGGCATGATGCTATCACAACGACCAGTTCTGGCTCGAGCTAGCCTCGCCGTCGTCGCGTCGCCGGACTTCCCATTGGACAGTGAGTGCATGATTGTGTCGCAGTCGCAATGTCTCGCTTCCTCGTCAAATGACTTTTTCGTCAATTGACTTGACCGAGGGAGCCGCCAGCAGATTTTTTTTAGTCTTGACGTCAAGGCGAGGCGACTGGAATGTTGCCGGACAGGTCTACGTCTGTGCTGCCACGCCGCCGGCATATAATATAGATGTATGCCACCGACGGCCATTGCTTGCATCCCGGACGCTTTTTGTAAATTTGTAAAGGTCACCACCTGCCGTACAATATGAGGTGTAGGCTACTCTTGCTACTGGCGCCGCTCAAAGCCTGGGCTCAACAATGTGTCTGCGGGTATGCAAATCAAGATGCGTGCGCTTCTGCTCCGGCCGAGCGGGCAGACTCATATACAGGCGTCGCTTTCAAAGGACAACAAGGTAGCACAGATGAGCGCTCAGAATATGCTGCTGCTGCCCTCCCGAACGGGAAGCAGACCGGACCGCATGAATATCCATTCATAGCCGCCGTGGTATACAAACCGGCGCACCAGAGAATCCTTTGTGGTGGTGCCATTATCGATGAGCATCACATACTCATTGCCGCGCATTGCGTGCACGGCCTGAAGGTAGACAGCCTCGGCGTCTACATCGGATCAAACAGATTCAACACCACGGGAGCCAAGTTGGAGACGGTCGCGGCCATTCATACGCATCCTCAATGGGACCCGGAACTGCTAGTATACGACGTCGCACTGCTTCAGCTGCGAGATGCCTTGACCTTTGATCGATATACGACAGGGCCCATTTGTGTTCTTGACCAACGGAAGAGCCTAGACAACCAAAAAGCAGTTGCGGTGGCGTGGGATTCGGCGACAGACGGAGGACCAGCTGTTTCGTCGCTTTTGCAAGCAACCTTTGAGACCCATGACATGGCATCCTGCGGTGCTCAACCTTCCGGAGGGCCACAATTCTGTGCGTACTCGGCAGAAGCGGCGGGTTGTCATCAAGGCTCAGATGACCCTCTGCTGTTGTTGCAGGACCAAAGTTCCCGGAGATACTTTGCAATAGGGATATCGTCGTATGGCCAAAGCTGTAGACAGTACCCAGAGGTCGTCACCGATGTCACTCAGCTCAGGCCGTGGATGCAGAGTGTCTTGCAAGCTGCCGGCGGGAAACTTTGCAAGTAAAAGCAAGTACATAAG